CTACCATTTCAACTCTCAAGGCCAATACTTTATGTAATCATTATACTTATTATACTTCCTAAAGTGAACCATGTGAATTAAGTGTGACTTACAGAATCTGACATTGTCTTCCATTTCGCCCCACCAGCCTTACCAACCTGTTCATCATTCACAAGTGATTTTCAAATCAAAAGCTTAAGAAAATTCAAACCAACTCAATCTAGAAACAAAGTACTTGAAACAAAACTTCAAATTTAAGATATAAAAGGTAGAAAAGGACGATTACTCACAGCAGCAACAGATTTGTTGCCAGGGTTCTCTTCTTTAAATTGTTTCCTGAACTCCTCCCTTCATTATATCAAAAGGGTAAAAAACATCAAAAAGAAGAGAAGATTCATAATAAAAATTGAACGTAACAGATAGAAGACAACAATTACTAACATGAATAAAAAGAAAGCGCTAGCAGGTCTCTTAGGCTTATTGGGATCCTTGACAGCTTTCCCTTTGGCTTGAGTTTTCTTCACAGCCAGCCTAAAAGAAACATACAATCATCAAAAGGTACCAAATTCATGAACCAATAGGGAAAATCTGACATCATTGAAGTTAAAAACAATAAACAACATAAAAACCCTAAGGAATGGTATGTGTGAGATATAGTACAGATTAAAGAAATCCTACTTGGTATCGGCTTTTCTCGTACCACCACTTGATTTACCCCCTTTCGTGGTTTGATCCTGAAAAATAAAACCAAAAACAACGACTTAGGTCAAAATCGACAACGAATCGGTTTAAAATTGCAGAGAAGAGCGAGAGCGAGAGATGCAGGGCGATTGAGGGAGATCATCTGGTACGATTTATAAGTGGCCTGAGGTAGAGAGAACCAGAGAGAATAGATTTTGGGCAGAGTGCGATGGTTTAGGGAGAATAGTGGCGATAATGGTTTAGGGAGAAGAGTAGTGGAGACTGGAGCGTGCGAATCTGGGTGGAGGAACAGAGACAGTGGAGAGCATGGAGGAATAGAGATAGTGGAGAGCATGCGTAGTGGAGAGCATCTTTATAAAGCAGAGCAAGAGTTTAAGTTGCTTAGCATAAAAAACTTGTACATCTAGCTTTATAACTTGTCGTTAAGAGTTTTTTGAAATGTATGCATAAAATGGCAGTACTTTGTGCTTAAAAGGTTGTAATTAAGACAATGGCCTAAATGGTTATATATGTAGTATAGATATACTAGTGGTGTACCCGCGCAATGCAGCGCGGGTGAATCACAATTCTTAAATATTAGTCTGGCCTTAAATTATAAGTTTATGTGGTTATTTTGCAAGTCAACCTGAAACAATTTGTGAATCACATTCGTCTGTTGTATATCTTTATTTTCTGATGAATTGAATCATCTTTTGTAGAAAAAGCCTCAAGATGTCACTCTACACCCGCTAAGACAAGGTTGGAGGGAGGACTGGACAACGGTGCTGCTTAAGTTAACTTATAAAACTACATTACAAAAGTATAGTCACTTTTCTTGTATTTTGTGTAGTGATACAGTGAGTATTCTGATTGAATAAAGGGGATGATCGTGTTTTTTTCTCCGGTCTGTTATATATGCCTTTGATAGTGCTTGTGAATATTAAAAGTTGATTTCTACGTTGAACCACTTTTGCTTCTTGGAGATTATTATATATATGTATAAGAATTCACCCCATCTTTTTTTACAAGAAACACATTTTGATTCGTTTAAGAAATAGAGAGCCTAAGTTTTCAGGGCCACAAGAAGGAGAAACCTATTATGGAGTTAGCACAAAGGTAACCAAAAAATGAACTGCTTTGTTGTTCAAATGATTACACATTGATGGCAAAAGCCATACAATTCTAAAGACACCAAATTTCACTTTTTAATGTCAATTTGAAGTCGAACAAACAAATTCCTCTTAATACGGGACCGAGGAGGGTTAAAACCCATATGAAAGTAAGATTATAGTTGGAATGAAAGCAATAAATTTAAGTGAACTCAGGATAATATCAAAGAAACATACAGATTAGTAGAAGGCCCTTTGTTGCAACAGATTTGAGCGCAAAGTGATGCGACAATTCCGATAACAGCAAAATCAAAGTTGATGGCAACCTGTGGAATATCCAGCCCTCTTGAAGCAACATCAGTCGCAACCAAAATTGGAGTAACGCCACTTTTGAATAATTTCAACGCTCTTTCCGTTTCCTGCATCAATTTGCATGTCCATACAACTATATACATAAACAGAAGAACATATTAAGGAAAATATTATATATTTTACAAGCTTTCTTTCCTGTCTTTACTACCCATGTCATGTTTATGAAAGAAAAAGACATGACCCTATTGAAGCTGCAATCACAAAACTTCACTATAAAAGAGACTATAACCAATTACATTTTCAAGATTCTCCAATAGAGTCATCAACTAATAAATCAATATTTAAATTCAATGAGTAACTTCTTACCTTCCATAGTCTCCAATTGTGAGCCATCAATGCAAACGACTCTCTCTCCAACTTCCCCACTCCAACTTCTTGTTTTCTCTTAATCTACGTTTGCACTTCCCTGCCATAATTTTTTTTTTCCAATCATGTATACTATTGTCTAATGTAGTCGGGAGCTGCAGTGGCATATCACCTTTAGCATAACACACTAACCGAAACATAAAAACATTGTTTTACCAAAATATACAAACACGAATTAGCAAGTACTTATTATAAAAAGCAACAAAGACAATCTAGCGCATTTGTGGTTTTTAAATTATATGAGATACAATCATAGACCAATATACATTACCTTAATAGGAGAGGAATTCATAAGCAGATGCTCAATCAATAGTAAACCCTCAAATAAAATGCCAGAATTTCAAATTTTACAAATACAATGGTTACAAATGTTTATTATTTACAAGTGTAGTGTTTTATTGGGATTTCAATAGCTAAGGCATCCAACTACGTCAAATTCAAAAACATTAAACGCTTAATTGTAAATGCTTACAAGTACACTGGTTACAAATGTTTACTTAAATGCTTACCTAGTAAGCGCTGAAATGTAAAATTCAACACCATTCCTTACCTTATCGGGTAAGATTCTAGTTCATCAAAATGGTATTGTATGCAACAATTTTCCCCGGTAAACGCTAACCGGGTAAGAATCGTCACATTCACTTACCGGGAATATAATGGTTGCTAAGGACATGCTTGACCGTATAAAAGGACAACAAAAAATAACATCAAAATGTATAACAAACCACGAGAACTCGAAGTATAAATTCACAATATACTCACATAGATCCAGCAACAACATTCCCTAGAAAAAACATAGTCCTATGTTGACTCCAACTTCAGGGCCCAAAGCACGACCAATGAGATAGTAAGACCCCCCGCCCTAGAGGTGAATAGATCAAATAGTAAATACCAGTATAAATTTCATGCTAATTAAATATGATTATACATATTTGAAGAAGCTATTTTTCATGAACAGCGTGGAGAAAACAATTGCCATAGTAATGCACATTGCATATCCCTTAATGCTGGTACTTACAAAAGCCTATGCAAATTCAAACAATAGGAAACAAGGAAAGCATAAAGTAATAAGTCTCCACCTTCACTGCACCATTAGTTGCAATTTCACTTAATGATACTGCATTCAAGAAACAACAAAATCCACACAATGCAACTACTGCTAGGGACCTACCTATGCCAACCATGCCAACAATACTGCATTTCAATTCTTAGTATGGTAAGAAGTCCTACACACGTGGTTAGGGAAGATTTGAATACAAATGAAGAAAATAGAAAAAGAAGCACTGATGATTTGTAAATAGGTTGTGAATAAAAACCAGGCAGAGCATTCTACTCAGGATATCATGCAGTACGGTTTAAGATGTCTCACCTGAAAAGAAAAAAGAAAAACAGATCATAGAAAGATGTGAGTGAAATAGATGCTGAAAATGACTGGATTATCAATAATTGTATGATAGTGCAAATCGAATAAAACAAACTATAATCTAATTACAACATCAATCCAGTGTAATCTAATTATGTTAAAAGAGACAATAGATTGGAGAGAAAAAAAACTATAAATTTTCATTAATCATAAACTGTTTAAGTAAGAATAATTACATAGAAAGAATGATAAGCATAGAAAAAGATTTACCCACAGCCCTTTAAATGACATGTTATTTCATGTTTCATTTTATTCTCCATCTTACTCGATGTTAAATTTTAGGTTTTGTATGGCTTGATATCATGAATAGAATGGTATATACGTTGAATGTTAATATGGTCTATTAAGAGCTGTTTATCTAAAAACTTACCCGGTAAAGCATGTATCGGTAAAATTCAACACTGTCACTTATTTATCAGGTAAAATTTTAGTTAACCAAAATGGTATCATATTCAACAATTTATTTGGTAAGTGTTAACCGTGGTAAGTTGTTCCCCTCACTAAGCGGATAAGACTCCAGGTAAATTATTGCATACAATACCCTTTTGATAAACTATTGTTACCCGATATATTAAGTTAAAGTGTTAACTTTTCAAGGTAAGGGTTTGGATGAACACCCCTAAAGTATCAACATACATTATTTAGGTAAAAGACTTCCCATATTATTTGCACATATTTTCATTCCACATAAACATCATCATCAAAACTATGACAACAAAATTGAACAACAAGTAATAATAATCGATCCTTAAAAATTATCAAACAACAATAACAATCAACGATTCATCCCGAAAGTGAAATTGACCGGGTTAATGTCAACACTACAATGATTCAATACATGCGTTTCTTTTAACCATGCACATTCTTCTTTCAGCACAAATATTGTTGCTCAACAGCTAGTAGATACCATGAAGCTCCAATAACCTGCACCGGCATCGTAAAGAAGCAGGATAATATATAACCAATTTGTATATATGAGAATAAGCAGAACCCCATCAGATTACTCTCCAAAGGAGCTCTTAAGGAGAGAAAGGAGGTTCCAACATATATTTAAGATAAAGATAACTGTGTAAAAAATTTACAAATGGTGGATGGTTGCTTACATGGCTAGCTAGCATATACATCATGAGATAGTAAGGTTAGAAGGCTCACATCCCATTAAATGGCTAGCTAGCATATACAGCATGAGATGTCATTTACACATACACAAACACAAACAAAGGCTAGAAGGCTCACATCCCATTAAATCCACAGGTGAAGATATTCAAAAAACCAACTTTATCAATAGATGTAGTCCTAAAGAAGGCTCACATACCATTAAATCCACAGATGAAGTTGACAGCAATGCATTTGAGATGCAACAAAGATGGAAGAGCTTGTTGATTAAAATCATGACTTTCTTTGCTGCATAACCAATCTCACTATCTTTTTGGGCAGAAATGTCAATTCCCATGGACAAGGATAAAAAACATACGAAACATGAACATAGAAGCAGATCCAATCAAACATTTTTTTATGAAAATACAGAAGATCAGTGAACTTAAAAATGAGACAGGCAAAACTGCGATCACAAAGAAAAGAAGAAGTTAACATAACTAACTCAAGGTGTATTAACAAATGTCAAAGATCAAGAAACAACACTCATCGTTTTCCCCTAAAGATCAATTGCATTTAGTTCTTGTGCAAGAAAAATCACAATGGACAGATAATTAAAACTGAAGACTTTTAACAATTCAAACATCTGTCTACTATACTCAAGCCCTTATTCTTCCCATTTTTTTCACTGAATAGGGATGGAGCAGTGAACCACCAAAGACAATCCATTGGGTAAATTTATTGCTTGTGCACCATTTCTGTTTCAAGAACATGTTTCTGTGACAGGCGGGATCATTATTTCCAGCCTTATCTCCATTTTAAAATCCCGGAAGTATGTGCAGAAAAGGTGTATTAGTTTTCTGACTTACACGATCGATTTAAAGAAAGAAAAGAATAAAATGGAGGATATCCCGGTTGTAAGAGAATTTCCAGAACTATTCCTAGAAGACATAACAAGTTTACCTCTTCATTGATGAATAGAATTCCAGATTGAGTTATTTCCAGAAGCAGCTCCAGTTGCTCATGCACCATATAGATTAGCTCCGTCTGAGTAAAGGAGTTAATGTCTCAGCTGAAAGAATTACTAGATAACGATTTTGTTTGACCAAGTACATCTCCCTGGGGTGGACCGGTGTTTTTTGTGAAGAAAAAGGATGAATCAATTAGAATGTGCATCGATTACCGAAAATTAAATAAGTTAACAATCAAGCATAAGTATCCTCTCCCAAGAATTGGTGATTTATTTGATCAATTGGTTAGGGCCAGTTACTTTTATAAGAGTAATTTACGATCCGATTGTCATCAGCTGAAGATTCGAGAAGAAGATGTGTTGAAAACGGCATTATGTACACGTTATGGGCACTATGAATTTCTGGCTATGCCATTCGGACTTACAAACGCACCCACAACATTTATGGACATGATGAATAGGGTATGTCGTTCCTATCTCGATAAATTTATGATTATTTTTATCGATGATATTTTGATATACTCTTGATCAGAGGAAGAACATGCAAGTCATTTACAATTGCTTTTAGAGTTATTGAAACCAGAAAATTTGTATGCCAAGATCTCGAAATGTGAGTTCTGGTTGCGGGAAGTCCAGTTTTTGGGCCATGTTATTCCGGAGCTGGGCATCAAGGTGGATCCTTTTAAAATTGAAGCTACTGAAAAATGGGAAGCACCAAAACCCCAACCGAAATCAAAAGTTTTCTTGGATTGGCGAGTTATTACCGAAAGTTCATACAAGATTATTCTCTTATAGCTACTCCACTAATTGGATTGACGAAAAAGAATGCGAGGTTTGAATGGAAGGAAGAACAAGCTAAGGCCTTTCAGAGATTAAAAGATAAATTATGTAGTGCCACAATTCTATCCTTACTTGATGGGACGGAAGAGTTTGTCGTCTATAGTGATTCCTCAAAGCTGGGTTTGGGTTGTGTGTTGATGCAACATGGAAAAGTTATTGCCTATGCTTCAAGGAAATTAAAGGATCATGAAAAGCAATATCCCATTCATTATAGAACTGGCACCTGTAGTTTTTGCTTTAAAAAATATGGAGGCATTACTTTTATGGGACTAAACGCCAAATTTTTACTGGTTATAAAAGTTGGCAGCATTTGTTCCATCAGAAGAGTTATGTCACTACTTCCATACCAAAACAGACTTTTGTCACCATGCTTGGTAGGAAGAATAATATTCAATGGATCGGTTGGTAGAATTATATATTGATGAAGTGGTAACACGTGACGGTATTCCATTATCGATAATTTCTGATCAAGATAGTTGTTCACTTTTATGTTCTGGAAAAGTTTTCAAAGAGAAATGGGTTCACAAATTAAGTTAAGTACAACTTATCATCCACAGACGGATGGACAAAGTGAGCGAACAATCCAGACACTAGAAGATATGCTTCGAGCCCGTGTTATTGATTTTGGAGGATCGTGGG